CCCAAGAGTTAATCGCTCTAGGTAGCCTAACGCACCATAATCCTTTAGGTGGCGACTCTTTAAATACCCAATTCCCAAAAGGAGATGAGTCATTACATCCCGTGAATGTCGAAACCCGGACTTCCCCGTCAAAAGAGGAAAAAAAGGGGGCCCGATATCCATAACCTTCCTAAAATTATATTATAGGCCATGTCTGCATCCATCACTTGAAACTTGGATTTTTTGACGACACCATCTACGAACGTTGCTAACACAATTTCTCCTTTTGTTACAACATTTGAATTATCAAACCCAGACAACGATCGAGCCTTGGATATGATATGATCAGTCGCTTGCATCTCATTCACTACCCTTAATAGTATGATATTCACAGAGCTACCTGGATCAATCAAAACTCGTTTGACATTAGTATCATAAACAAGTAAAGATATTACTAGAGCATCGTTATGAGGGATGATCAAGCCATCTGCATCATCGTCGTCAAATGTTATGTTATCTTTTTCTATAACTTGATGAATCTGCTTCCCGTGGACTAAGACTTGGTTATCTTTTTTGCTGCCATATATGCCGTATATGTTACTCCATTGACATCCTCACTCCCGGTTATAACATTCACCATCCTCTTTGGCATAGAAGGTTTTGGTGGTTATTGCCTATTTTTTTATATAAGACTGCTTTCCTTTTTCACTAAATAGGCCAGTGAGATAACCTTTTTTCAGTAAATATTCAACCTCCTCTTGTAAAAGCCTGCAATCTGCTATTTTGTGACCGTGATCATTATGGAATTCACACCAGAATTCCTGGCTTCTTTTGCTGGGATCCGTTCTCATCTCTTTCGTCCATCGTACCTTATCACCCATTCCTCTTAGCACGGCTACCAGCTCGGACGTACTGACGTTGAAATTATAATCTCCTATTCTTGATTGGGAATTTTGATCTTTGTTCCTTGTTGTATAACGTTCCTCTCCGAATCAAGAAGAAGAACTTGTCTCCTTCTTCTTTGATCTTTGATCAAACCATGCCTGATCTTGTTTTGATATAGGATTTCGTCCCGTGGGTCCCATATAAGATTCATACCTATTTTTTCAGATCTCATTTCTGATTGTGAACGTCTAGGCCCGAATCTTTCTTCCACCTTCGGTTGAGATACCGTATCTTTTTCTATCTGCAACTTTGTTGTACCTATTATAAACATCATTCCAAGTTATGGCAGAAAATTCCCACATGCTTTATTTTGACCTTCTCGTGGATTCTAAGCTTTTTTCATTCAAATTGATTGAAATTACATAGCTACCCAATTATCAGGTACATGCGGTAATATCATTCTCTCTCACTGGAATCGATCCACGAATACTCTAAGTAATTCTGTACTCCCTTGTTTTACCTTGAAGATATATTTCATTCTCTTCTCCACTTTTTGAGCTCCCAAGTGCACTTTTATAAATGAATCTACAAGCTAAGAAAAAGAATCAATCAAATTTTCAGGTAAGAGTGAATACCAAGTTAATGCTCCTTTTGTGAGAGTTCCGCCAAATTTCTTCAGCAATACTGATTCAATTTTCTGCTTGATAAATTGTTGCCCTTGACTCTTGTAGTAAATGCGGTAACATGATCTCGAGGGTCAGTAGTCTCATCATATTTAGTAATATCGGGCATCTTGAACTTTTTAAGTATTGGTAACGATGCTGCACTTGGCTTCCAAGATTATTGATAATACTTTTTAATATCCACTTCTTTAATCACGGGTGGTACTCCTGGTATCTTCTCTATCCGCTCGTTTTTTGCTTGAGCTGTTTCTGCAAGGTTAGTACTAAATATTGTAAATTAGAATTATTTGGTGTACCTAACTCTCTGACTCTAGAATTATTTGGCATTTTCCCACTTCCAGAGTTTTCAAGCCCCAAATGAGGGTTTTCCACAATTGTGTTCACTAGTGGTGGGGCCTGTACAACACTTGGCAGCCCACTTGCAAAAGTGCGCAAGGCTTCACCAATGTGTTGAGCAATAAACTACTTTAAATTATCTTTCTTATTTGACTGTTTGTCAATTTGTTGTCCAGCATTACGATTAGCAGATCTGTTAGGTGAATTTTCTCGTGAACGCGGCGGAGTAGCTGTGGATGTGTGGTTTGGAGGAGTTCCTCCTTATTGCCTTCCTTGTTCTCCATCACCCAACTGAAAAAATTCATTAGTAGTAGACATAATTCGTTATTAAAGGTAAAATATAAAAAGTAAAAATATTACTAGATATCCCGGCAATAGAACCAATTTGTTTAACCAAATATAGTTTTTGTGGTCAAAACAAATATTGAAATAAATCGGATTTCTAATAACTAATTTTACTTCACTTTTTCAAATATATAACAATTAGAAATAATAGAAACTAAATATTCAATGAGTAAAGAAAAGAAAATTTTATTGATAATCATAGTTTCCTTCCAAGAGTTGAGAGTAAGAATCTTCAATCAAGCAGAGAAATAAAAGACTGATAGCATATATTTGTGAATTTCTTGATGATCGTTCAGAATATAGTAAGGGCGTTTATATAAGGATACAATGTGTAACTATTTTGCCCCACTTAATTCCTACTCGTTACTAATATTAACTACATTAATTGCCTTAATTGAGTCATTTGTAATAGTTATGGTAATAATAGTCAATCGCGCATAATCAGGGATTGTCCAGATTTCTTTTCTATATTCGTAGCTATTAATGAATCTTCCTCTTTTATAGTCTTCAATCATGCTTTCCGTGTCTATCTCTTCTTTCCCAGTTACCAGATGAGGTATCTTTGTACACAATTCCGTGGATATTTTACCCATGCCTCATCATTCTTCTTTATTGCTCTAGTTCTAATGCCACATGTCAGCATATCATTAATTCACAAATCGAGTCCATTTTTCATCAAGTACACTTGTGTCTCCGATACATGTCACAATCCTTGACATATGTCTGCACATCCTCCCATATCCCCTTCCAAGAAAAAAGTGAAGATATCCTTTAATAAGTTTGCTCAATGCTAGAGTGTCCACCAGTGGATGAATCATGCCACAAGTACATAATGCCCTTCTTGTGCATCTGGCCTTACCACCAGTCTTCCCTCTTTTTTAAGTTGTCCATGTATAAAAGAATATCTCCGAGTTTGAGCTTCTCCGTCCTCCTTTAAGCTTTGGATAACATTTACTCTACACCAATTCCCAACTTTGCATGATTAGAGTCAATAAGTCAGTTTTGACTGTTGACAAGGTCAAAGCAGCTAATTCAACCACTAGAAGCCTAGATAATGTGTCCTCCACTTTGTTCTCCTTCCCTTTCCTATACTCAATGATAAAGCCATATTGCATGAATTTAGTTATCCACTTCAACTGAGACCCTGTGTGCAACTTTTGTTTGAAGAAGGAATTTGAGAGACATTTGATTTGTCTTCACTATAAAAGGTTTTCCCATTAATATTGAGCCCATTTTCCATGACGAAAGCCAATAGCTCTTTGTCATATACTAAGAGTGTTTTATGTTGAGGAGATGGCCTCTTGCTAAGATAGGTAATTGGTTATCTCTTTTACATCAAGGCTGCTCCAATTCCTAGGTTAGATCCACCAGTCTCTACTACAAAGGGTATAGAGAAATCTGATAACACTAGTACAGGAGCAAAAGTCAGTGCCCTCTTGAGTTCATCAAAAGCTACAATAGCTTTGTTGGACCATTCGAAATTAACCTATTTAGAATATCAATAAGAGGTTTACTGATAAACCCATAACCTCTTATAATCTCCTGTAATAACCTGCTAGGCCTTGGAATTCCCTTAACTGTTTGAGGTCAGCAAGCTCTGGCCATGATTGAACAGCTTCTACCTTTTTAAGATATGTGGCTACCCCTTCAACAGATATGTAATACTACCCCAGATACTCAATCCTCTCAGCTGCAAAAATACATTTGATTTCTTTAGCAAACAGTTGGTGTTGGACTAACAAGTCAAAAGTAACCTCGAGATGTTTTACATCTTCTTCCAGGCTTTGACTGAAAACAAGAATACCAAGAAGATTTCCTCAATTGATCTTGGAAGATGTGATTCATTAGCCCTTGAAAATTGGATGGTGTATTAGTTTATCCAAAAGGCATCACTAGATGTAGTCCTGAGTAAGTCGTGAAAGCTGTTTTGTGCACAGTCGAAGTTGTCGTCCTAATTTGATGGTATCAAGCTCTCAAGTCTATCTTGAAATAAATTTGTGATCTCTCTAGTTCATCCAACAGTTCCTCAATTATTAGAACGAGAAATTTGTCTTTCAGTTACCTTGTTAAGAGCTATATTAGAGTACCTAATTACCCCTTGAAGTAGTACTCTTTTTTCAAGAACATACTTAAATTTTATGAAGGTCTTAATCTTCCAACCCCCCCTCAAAAAGTTTGAAGTGGTATTAATACTAACTTTTGAGGCCAACCTGAGTTTTAAGAGGGGAAAAAGTTTAATTATGGACCAATAATTTACTGACACGTGTTATGAAAAAAGGGTACTACTTCAAGGAATAATTTGGTATTCTCCCTAAATTATAATTAATTATTGTTATTGTAAGTCATGGTGCAAGAAAACATAGACTATCAGTGTACATAAGGCGATGAGAACAAGTGCTGTGAACACTTTCAATCAAAATAAGGCTGTGGTTGGAATTGGTTAAATTTCATTATATGGTTATTTTAGTTAGGCACTTGCACTAGGCAAGGTAGTTCGGGCAGAGTGTAGTCCAGTTATGGAAATTTCATTAGAAGATATAAGTTAGGCATTTACACTATGAGGGCAGTGTAGTAGTAGCCACGTACCTGATTTCTATCCCTTTTTAAATAAACAAAAAAATACTTACACCAAATCACATTAAATTATAGTCAAGTGATAAATTGACGTTAGATTGCATATAAATAACCACGGCTAATAATACATATTATGTATTTGGTATTCATTAGTTTGGCGTAAATACATAATGTTATGTGTTAATTTGAAAGTTGCTTGTTGTAACAACTTTCTATTACAGTTCCGTGCACTCTTTATATATCTATAGCAGATGAGAATGCTACTTTATTATAATTCTTGTTATTGACTTTCTTAAAATTCTTGGATGAGTATTTCCACCCCTTCAAGCATGGCCTTCTCTTCTTGTTTTTGCCACTTTTTGATCTCACACAAGGTATGCTGCTTATAACTTTATATCTAATTCTATGAGCTATCTTTTGTTTAGTAGTAATAATTAATTTCCGGTTTGGACTCCAACTAATTCAATTCATATCATTTAAGGAAAAAAGCGTTCCCTAGCAGGATTTTTCCCATTCGTTGACCTCGAACCTGAGACCTTTGGTTAAGGTGAAGGGATTCTCTTCATCCCACCGTAATCTTTGGTGATAATATTTGTGAGTAAATTGGTGTTTATGTTGCACAAAGTCCCTTGGAATTTTTATGCTTCATCAATTTTTTCTAATTGGATATTTTAATTTTATTAGTTCCAGGACACAGGCATTGCATGTGTATTCTATATCAACAACTATAAATTTATAATAAATAATATATATTCTTACGCGAATATACATATATTGTAGCCGATGATCTATGAGAAACAAGCCTCCAAGAGATTTAGAACTATTGAACTTCTTTACCCATTTAAGCTTGAACTTCTACAGCTTTTGGGGCAGATTCACCTTTTTTTTTGGCGGATGTAGGATTTAAGCTTTATGGGTTCCATCTTAAAGATTTTTTGCCACGAATCCATTATATTTTTAAAATTATGGGTTCAAACTTACTATTTATTACAATTTTAGTGAATTTTTACACATAAATTTATGCTTCATGTCGGAAGTACTGGGTTCAGTTGAACCCGGTATTACAACTCTACATCCGCCTTTGTTTTTTACCACTTATGAATAATTAAATCAAGAATGATTCTATACTTAGCTGCAGAGGAACAATGCTGCCTCTTTTGCTCTTGCACCAATTATTAACTCTGATGTTTCACGTCAAAAAGTTGGGGGATTGGGAACCAAGCTAAGCACTGGATGGAGTTTTCTGGGAGGATCAAGAATCGTTATTCGTCCAAATGTTACAAGAAATCTTCTGCAAAGAAAGAGCTCAATGGTGTCTGCCTTGTGTAATTATTTCCCTACATTATCCATTGGTTTAAATAGTTTTAAATGCGTGCTATTAAAAATTAGTTAAGTATTTATGCTCTTGTCTTTTTGCAGGGTCGGAAAGCTCTCAAATTGCTACTAATGTATTCCCATTGGGAACATTAGCAGTTCTTCCCTTTTATTTCTTCATGGTTGTGGCACCTAAAGCTGCACTTGTAAGTTTTCTCAATTGTCGACCTAAATTAACCTGTTTTACTATTGCCAGTTTCCTAAGTTGCTCGGATACGGGTGTGGATGTCCGAAACGGGTGCGGATCTAGAGATCGCATCCTTCAAGATGTAATTCTAAGATTCAGGGAAACGGATCCTAGTACGGATACAGGTGCATGGATCCAGCTAAAAATATTTCAAAAATATAAAAAAGATCTCTAAATTATGATAAATTTTGTGGAATACTTACGTATAGCTTGTAAAGTGTGGATTTCTTATTTTATTCTCAAGGTATAGATAAGTAAAGGATTGATTTCCTAGATAAAGTATACTATTTTCTTCAAATTTACCCCAGTTTTGGTTCTGATTTCGGGAATCAAATTGTATCTCGTATCGAATTTTTCCATCCGTCGTGGTCAAAGTATCCAAAATTGTTTGAACATATTTGCTATGGAAATCATGCTCACACCCATACTAGTGTCATGTCGACAAGGGTGCGACACCTAAACTTTTTGGAGCAACTTAGCCAGTTTTTATCACAAAAATCATGAATAAAAGTAAATTACTAGGCCACAACTTCTCTCACCATCTTTTTCTGCTTTTCTCATGTTATGTGGTCTCTGTATGATTTCAATCTATGCATTGATGTGTTAATTTCATGGGGTCGCTGCTCAATTTTCACTTTATTGCAACAAAGTTAATGTACTATTTTTGTAACGAAAGAGTCACTCAACCTCGTTTAAGTATCGCGAAAGTCATTACATTAGTTTTGTAACGAAAAATCGCTCAACTTTGATTAAGTATCAAAGAAAGTCAGTAGGAGAAAACAAAGGAGCATTTTTTATTTTTATTTTTATATTTAGGCAAACTTATTGATTGCAAATAATTGTTCAGTAGAAGAACTCATTGCTTCACTTCGAATTGCAGGCCCAAAAAGTGATGGAGAGCAGCATACCTTATATTGTGCTTGGACTTCTTTATGTATATCTCGTGTACCTCTCATGGACACCAGATACAATGCAGCTATTATTTCCTAATAAATATTTGCTTCCAGAGGTATGTGATCATCAACTACACACTCCCTCTTTCCCATTTTATATAACACTCCTATCTTTTTGTTCTTTTCGAAAATAAGAAGCCTTTTATATTTTAAAACTCTTTAGCTTTAAATTACTCATTTTAATCGGGGGTCGTTTGGTATAATTGTGAGATGTCCCATAATATCTCAGGGGGTAGGATATATATCGTATGGGAATAGCTATCCTACTTTTTATATGGGATAACTATTCATGGGCGGCCCAAGGGTCAAGCCACTAAAGCAAAGGCTTTAGGCCCCTAAATTTTGAAGGCCCCAAATTTTTCTTTTTGTTTTCTACTCGTATTTGTATTGAACCCCCAACTAATCTAGATTCATATCGCATAAGGCCTAGTAAAAGAGAGAACACGTTTTAACAGAATTTATTTCAACCACATGAATCGAACTCAATATAAGGTAAGTTGGATCATATACATCTCACAACAATCTTTAGAGGTAGGGTCTAAATATATTGGGTATGTTAAAATTAAAAAAAAAATATTTTATAAAAAGTAAATATAACTTTTAATTTAGTATTGATGTAACCGTTTAAGCAAAAATTGGAGAAAGAGAATCACTCCCCCTAAACCGTCGTCGCGAATATAAAACTTTTCATTATTTAAATTTGACAATTGACATCATTAGTGAGGTACCTATATTATTATTCTCCTTTTACATTTCTCACTAAAAACGTGCAATTCACTTTCAGAATCCATTTTTTTTTTGTATCTTCAATAGTCCAAGTCTTATTTTTTATCTTTCTCATCAGAAAACGGGTACTACATTCTTATATTCTCTTCTTGATTTCTACAAAAAAAGCTTAAGTTCTCGATAAGTTATATTGTTCTCTGTAGAAAAAAAAAAGAGTTTTATTTTTTCTATAAAAAACAAGAGTTGAAGAGTACCGTTGAATACAACTATATTGCGCATTCTTTTTTCCCCTCAGGTTTCAAGCATTTCAACAAGTATATTAGAACATCAAAAATTATTTTGATATCAAGTTATAAACTTCTTGAATCTGGTTCAATTATCTAAGATCAACAATATCTTAGGAGAGATTAAATTATTTATAAAAGAAACTATTAACAACTTTACATCTTAAAAAGATAGAAAATAGACTTCCATTAAAAATATAGATTAATTATTTTTTCCTTCTGATAGGCCCCAGATTAAAAATTGGCTTTAGGCCACCAATCTTCTTGGACCGCCCCTGTAACTATTCCTGTCATTTTAGTGTAATTTCCTATGATTAGCTGATACCTATAATCAAATATGAGATAAATATAATCTCAAATTTTATCCCAGGATTATTATTCTTATCTCATGTATCACACGACCTTTTAGTGATATACTCTTATAGCCGTAGGCAGTGACGGAGGCAGGATCTCCGCGAAGGAGGTTCAAAAAGAAAAAAGTTAAAAAAAAAAAATATGTAGCTAGTGGGAATTAAACATATGACCTTACAAAGATGTTGAACTCTCATGACCACTAAGCTATACTTTTGGACTGTGTCAATGGGATTCAAAACTTAATATATATATATATATAGGTAAAAAATAGATTTTGCCTTATATATACAATGTAATTTTTCGGCGAAGGGAAACCCCTTCCACCCCCTAAATCCGCTCATGGCCGTAGGATATTGTTATTGCATATTTTACACCACGAGTTCTAATTAAAGATACTTTTGGTATGTTAGAAAATCTCTCTTTTTCTAAAAATCTGTACGTAGTCAAATTAAATTGAATATGTGAAGTTTTAATTTATATGTAGTGATACTAACATTTGTTCTCATTCAGCTGGATGGTATTGCTGAGATGTTCTCCAGAGTGATGACTTTAGCTTCTGCATGGATTCACCTCTTGGCTGTAGATCTTTTTGCTGCTAGGTTGGTCTCTCTTTGTCACACATCGGTGTGTTTTGGTATATTGACAATAACAAAATATATTGGCAATGTCCGATTATCTAAAAGATAATTACAAGTAACTATCACATCAAGTGAAATCACATACTGTTAATATACAAATTCTATCCATCAGTATATATAAGTTAAATTCTAGTTGTTTTTTTTTTTGGACAAGGAAGAATTAATGATGCCCTATTAAAACTCTTAATTATTACTCCCATTAATTTTTTAATTTTGAAACAGGCAGATTTATCATGATGGATTGGAGAATGATATCGAAACGCGCCATTCCGTGACATTGTGCTTGATGTCTTGCCCTATTGGAATTGTTTCGCATTTCATCACCAAAGCTCTATTCAGTAGACGTGACAGATAATCAGGATTGCAATTTGACTTTGTTTAGCAAATGATCTACGAGTGTAATTATCATCAATTTGTAAAGGTTTTCATTTAATGAAAGGTGGCTTTCTAAGTTTTTATTGATGTGATGTAACATTAAGGCATATTTAGTACCAATTTTTAGAATTATTCATTTTTAAATAAAGGTGACTTCCTTTCTCTTATAGCAGAAACACACAAAACGAGCAGCGGTTAAATTATAGAGAAATTTTGATAAAGCACTATTTTTTAGTGGTAATTAGCTATTTATAGATATTATTTGTTATATTACGGATTGTAGATACGTTTTATGTTGTTATAAGATGTATTAGATGTATTTAAGCTACTGTATTCATGAATACGGTAGCAAAAATAGGCGGGAATCAGGTAAGTCCAGCTAATTTAGTTATTGTATTCGAGTGTATTCGACTGTATTCATGGCGTGAAACATGGGATTACGGGGATTACACTATTTTTAAATGGAAAGTGAATCAATTAACATAATAGACTCCTAATATAACTCAACAAACTCAATTATAACACACAAATATTTTGTATTTCCAGTTATAAAAAAAATTCTCAACCGAAAAATACCCCAAAAACATAGCAATCTTCGGAGAAATTATATAATACATCTGAATACATAAATTATATTAATTAAAAAAATATATGAATACATTCATGGCATATAGCGAGACAGTGAATACAATGAAATACATAGAGTACAGCGGGATGCATTGAGCATTGAAATACAATTTTAAAAAAGACAATAAATACAATGAAATACTTGGAATACAGCGAGATATATTGAATTACAATATAAAAAAAAGACAATGAATACAATGAAATACATTGAAATATATTAATAGAAAATCAAGTTGCTCAGCCCCAAACTCCGTCATCTTTGTTCAAGAATAAACCCTAATTTCTGGCGAATCTGCAATCCACTTATAAATCAGTAATTCCAAATTTCCGATTAGGCCGCCCCAGTTGAGTTGAAACCCGTTAGTCAGTACCCATTTTAAAGGACTGTCGAACTTAACTGCATAAAATTCACCAGTTGATGCCCTAATTATTGTTGGAGATTTCAATTTGAATTTCGCACTTTCTTCTCCAATAGAATCGACTAATCAACACAATATAAGTCTTCGGGGTATACCAGACAAAATCACTGTTTGTGACTAATGGTAGGTGATGTGGGTGAGAGGAATTTTGAGATTGAGCATCGTGTTTTCAGGGAATGGGGGAAGAGAATGGCATGTATCAAAGTAGAGAGAGAAAGAAAATAGTGTAACTGAATAGCGTATTTAGTGGCTTAGGAGTAGGAGGTAGGAGGTAACCAAAATTAAATAGTTTGCTATAAACACTAAAAGGTATCTATAGAATATAATTTTTTTAAATGGTATTTATTTAAAATAAATAAGGTGTTAACATTTGCTATAGAAGGTAAAAATTCCTAAATTAGACGAGACCGCAAAAGGGTAGGTGGGCTAGCATTAATAAGCCAGTGTAAGATATGGAGATAAATCTTAACCAAAAAGAGGCGGCTAGAACTTGTGTCTTGTCATTTGTTTTAGAACAAATTAAATAAAAAAGAGTGTTAGGTAAAATAGAACAAAGAAATTAAGTAATAAAAAGAACGGAAAAGGGCCTGATATACCCCTCTACTATGACATATTGTTCAATACCGTCCCCCATTATACTTTCCGTCTCTTAAAGCCCTTACGGTCCAACAAAGTTTTATATATGCCCCAATTTTAATAGCTGGGACACGTGGCACGCTCTGAAAAGACCAAAAATCACCTACACTAAATAAAACCAACCCGCCCCCAATTCCACTGCCCCGCCCGCCCGACTCATAAACTCATAAACCCATAAATCAAGAACCACCGTAAAAACACAAATAAAACACCAAAATTCTAGGGCTTCTTCATCGTTCCCATTCTGATAAAACCATAAATAAAAAACCTACTGTAAAAGCACAATCAAAACATCAAAAATTATTGGGCTTCTTCTTCGCTTCCATTGCTAAGTATTCAGTTGGTCGAAATCTGCTGTAGAATGTCGAAAGATAGCTGTTCGTCGAAGAGGATCTGCCGATGTGGGGAAGTTGCTAATCAGTTTACTTCAAAAACTCTCTTAAACCCTGGCAGAAGATTTTACAAATGTCCTAAATGTGAGGTAGTTTTTATTTCTCTATTTCGATTCTTGTTACAATTCCCAACTTTATAGAAATAAATCTTTGAATTTATTTTGTTGTGGTTTGTGTAGAGTGAAGGATGTGGGTTTTGGGAATGGCATGATGAAGAGTATCCCGATGCTGCTTTAATTGCAATTAACAATGTAAGATTAGAAGCTGCAAATCGCGAGATTAAAATGTTGAATGTTTCTTTGGAAGCTCTTAAGGTTAAAAGAGACGGGCTGATTGAAAATATTGAACTCATAGATTCTATGAAGAATTTTGAAGTTAAAAAAATATGGAATTGGAAGCAAAAGTGGTGAAGTTGAAGATGATCATCACAATTTTATGCTCGCTGATAGTTGGATTTGCATTCTCCTATTTAATGAAGTGAAATTATGTTGAAAGTAGTTTGTAGAAGGGGAATGTTGTATTTACAGTTGAATATTGGAATGTTGAACTTGTTGGGAGTTTCTATTAGATGTTTAATGGTTGGATTTTGTATTGTAATAACATTGTTAACTTAATGATTATTGGAATGTTGTTTATGATAATTCCGAGCTCTCCTGATATATGATTCTAAAATCCAAACAGAACTATATGAGTTGAGTTGAGTTGCTGGTCAAATTGATGTAAGAAAACTTTTTTAAACTGTTAACTAGCCAATCCACATAATGGCAAGAACATAAATAGTGAACACTAACAAGTTAACAACTTTTTCTTAAAATGGTAAACCAGACAAGATAGAGAAGTTGACTATAAACATCTAGAAAAATAGGAAGTGGCCTCATATAAATTACAGAGAACAACAGAAACATTTCAATTGGTTAATTCTATTTGCATAGCTAAAATATGTTGAAGAAAGCCTAAAAGTAGAAGAAAGTTACACAACATCTTAAACAGATAATTGTTAACTGGTAGTACTAATCTAAGTTGAAGCACTATTGCTTAAGGACATTAACAAAAACTGGACAGTAAGAATAATTCAACAAGTCATAATTCTGCCTCTTACATCAAATTGGAGAAGTGTATGCCACAGCTATAACTTCAAAAACTCACTCAACCTTGGTCATAACAAGACATTCAACTCCAAATACCACCAAAAATAAACAAAGTGTTTAAGTTTCACTTTAGCTACAAACTAAAAAAACAAGTCCTAATTAGATTATCAAGGTCCCTTTTCTTGCCTTCAACTTCCAAATTCTTTGTCTTGTTTGCATCTCCAATTACTTCCCAGTGATTGCTGCATTTTCCTTCCATGTCAAGTTTACTGGGGAGTATGGAAGATTAGCAGGTTCACTTAAACATGTGTTATCTCATGTAAACTTGATTGTCCTTGTTCCAGTGTTCATACCAACCTTCTGTATTTCCATAAGTCTAGTTTGTGATTCTGATATAATACTAGGCCTTAATGGAGTCTCAGGGCCATCATCAAAATCAGAAGAAGCATCCAGAGTTGGAGTAGGCATAAAGATAAATGATTGACTGTTGCCAATGCCTTCACTTGTTTGGAACACTTGGGGTGCTGATAAATTGATATCTGCCAATACCTCCTCATCATCAGTGTCTTCATTAATTAAAGTCCTTTGTCTTTTGGCTGGTTTCTTAGCCCTAGATGTTTGCCCATCATTTTCATTTGATGGTTGTTTCTTCTTTGTCACTTTCTGCACATTCATTGGCTGTTTAATGTGAAATACAAGCATAAGTTAATATCAATTAAGTATAATAACAAGTTCATTGCTAAGTATTAGGCCATTACCTTTTTACATCCCCTTGCATTATGGTTTGCCTCTCCACAATTGCCACAAGTCATAATTCTGCCTTTTCTAGACTGACTTCACTCCCCTTGCCTCTTGATTGCCTCATCCTTTTGTCTATCTCTTTTAACTTTAGGTCTGCCAATTTGTTTCACTAGTTCTGGAGGTTCCATGGCTTGAGATAGATCTAGTTTCCAGAATTTCTCACCAGGTACAGATTGTAACTTATGCTTGTAAGTAAGTAGAAAGGCTTCTTTGCTATACCACCAGTGCATCTCCTTCAAAGGGTATTCCTTTAAATACAAGCATGATCTTATTGCATAAGTACATGGGATCCTTGAAAGATCTCATCCTCTACGTGTGCATCTTTTTCCCTGTAGATTGACAATGAATTTGTCAACCCCTTCTACTATTTCAAACCCATCATCACCATTGAAATCAACCTCAATAGAATGAGTTATCTTCAGATAGTCATTATAAAGCTTTATGCTTTGAGGGTTGTAGTCTGTATTCCATGTTCTCACCTCTTCTTCATGCTTTCTCAACTGATTCATTACTTTGAGTCTTATATCTTCCAACATCTTGATAATGGGCTTGTATCTAGCTTCTAATATCCAAGAATTGAAAGATTTTGTAAAATTGTTATCCACACCTTGATTTTTACAGACAGTGTCAAAGTATTCCCTACACCAACTCTGGTGGGTACTTTAACAGGTCTATAACAGATGCTTCCTTCAACTGTCCTAACTTGCTCAACTGATCCTTGAAGTCTTCTTCATAAGTCGCCCAAGCACTCCACCAAAGTAACTTCTTCATTTCAAGACCTCTATACTCTTTGCACCAGTTTGACTCTATATGTCTCACACAGAACCTATGCTTTGCTTCGAGAAGTACTGTCTTTATTGCCTTCACTAATCCCTGTACAAAAAAATTAGTAAAAAAACAGTAAAGAATTGTGACAAAAAACAGTAAAGAAACAGTTATACCTTCTGCACATCCGACATAAATGTGACTCCATTGCCCATATTCAAGTCCAATGAATTGTGAAGAAGCTCCAGAATCCAAGTCCAACTTCTTTTTGTTTCCCTATCCACTACAGCCCATGCAAGTGGATAAAAATGGTTCATGTTATCTTGCCCAACAACAACTAGTAGCTGTCTTTTAGCCTTCCCCTTTAAAAATGTACCATCAAGCCCAATAAATGGTCTCAAGCCCTCTTTGTACCCAATCTTCAATGCATGAAAACAAA